CCAATGTGAGCCGCGGCCTTGTGAGGGAAGGATCTCAAAATCCACTCACTTTCACGGTTTAACAAGGCCACCAATGGCTTTAGAAGACAATTTCCAACAAATTTCAAGTTAAACTTTGTTGGATTTGGTTAGGATTTGAGTGATTAAAGGAGAGAAGAAAAATTTGCATGGAGAAGGGGGGAGAAGGGCTGATGGCTTGGGTTTGGGAGAGATAGGGGAGTGGGAAGATGATGAATAGCAATAGGATGAGGTGGACCTAAGTGATTTTAAGTGGGGTGGGTCTCACGCCACCTCACGCGATTCAAAACGCGTCTGAACTCTCACTAAACGTCCGTAAATTCAAAACCTATTTAGAAACTCTAATTTTTAACATTAACTATTCTCCTTTAATTATGCTTGATCAGATGAATTCAGAGTGCTCCATTCGTTCGGAGAAGACACTGTTTTAAGTTATTGCGCGCGCCGTTGGCACGCTTCCCCAAAATGACTTACTTTCATCAGATTTTATCAACAATCATATTTCCTAACTCAATAGACCATTTATAACTCATATTTGAAACCTAGAGCTCAAAATTCAACTGGCACGTTTTACGGTGCAATCGTACCGCGGTATTTTTACCCGCAAAAAACACTATTTACTGATTTTTCTGAAACTTGCCTATCCACTCAATTTTTCGTTCTGAATCCATTTCCAGGGTTGTTTTTAACATCTGAGACCTTCTACTCAATTTTTATCTTTCTAGGGTTGTGTGTTGGCTAATTACCGTTTTGCACTTTCTTTGTATTTTGGACTAATCTTTAGGATTTTCACTGAATCTCCACTTAATTACACACTTAATGGTTTAAACACTTAATTTAAAATTGTGAAGTGTTATACCCATCACATACCAATTCGGTTTTCATGATTATTTTACTCCATGAATTTCTGACTTCTTATAATTCTAGCAACTCCATTACAATGATGAAATCCAACACATAGAGGTTCGGCTTCCTTAGCATAAAAACATTCAGGATTTAATTTAAATAGCCAGCCCCACAAAGCCTAGAGTACGGTAAAGTGGCCTAGAGCATGTTGTCAATTTAATTTAATTCACGCCATACAGTAATTCACAAGCAAATTTTCAAGTTTCTAATCCTTGTATTTTAATCGGTTTATCATGCTTCCCAAAGCTACTAATTTTCTGCCTTTATTTTATCCCAACCTTGGTTAGCAACTAACTAAATCTCCACTGTTTTACATGCAAGCCAGTTCGGTTTTTTAGCATCAAGGGTTGTTCATGATTTTTACTTACATAGCCAAACCTACTGAGCCTATGTGTGTGCTAAGGGAGGTTCTTAAACAGGCTGCACAATTTCATTTAATACATATAGCACTAGATACATCATCCTAATTCAACAACCGACCAACAAATATAACAGGCTACTGCTCCAAGTCCCAAAACTATTCCTTGAACTTACCATGGCTAGGTCCAAGTCGGCCAAAACGAGTAGAAACAAGAAACATAATTAACAAAAGCCTAACTTCCTAGAACCCACATGTAATTGAAACAGAGGAGAGTAAATGAGAGGTTTATCTTTTTGTAAATACCTTTTTGGCTGGTACACAACAGTCACGGTTTGGCAAGGAGCAGCTTTATACTTTCCTATGCTCCAAATTTCGGTTTTGCTTTTCCCCACTTGGGGTTGACGGCGTACACAAGGAAAGAAGGACGATGGGTTGAATGAAATCACAAGCTCCTTGGAGATTAGTCCATGGCCGAACCAGGGAAGAGATGAGAACATGATTCTGAGTTTGGTTGTCTCCCAATGTGGCTTCACGGACTTGAGGAGAGGAAAAAAATATAGTTAAGTGTTTTGTTTTCTCCCCAAGTGTTCATGATTTGTGGACTGGATGAGAGAAAGAACATGCAATGAGGGATGTGTGTGCGTCCTACAATGCGCTTAGGGAGGAGATGGGGGTGGATAAAGCTGGTCTACCTTCTGAACCAAAAGGGTGAACAATCAGATTGATTATTCCCCTTACCATACGCATAGGAAGGGAAGGGAGTAAATCTGTTGATGCTTCTGAACCAATGGGGCAGCAATTAAACTACTTGTTCTTCTTATGGCAGCGCTCACATCGGGTGAGGAATAGGGATGAGGCAGAGTCGTTATGGTCAACAATGACGATCAACCAGATATATGTGGGTCTCCCTTTTTCTATTCGCACATGTAAAGAGATGGAAGAAAAACAATCATGCTTTGTTTTCCCTTACTCCACGCAAGAAGGAAGAGGCTAAATGATGGTATACTGTAAATCAGAACTTTCTCTTCTTCCTTATTGGCTACAAGGTGAGGCAGCGCTGAGTGACTTGGGACAAAGACTCAAGTAATCAAAATTTCCTTTTTCCCTTACACCAAGCGCATGGAAGGGTAATGTGGACAAAAGGTTGATTCTAAGCCAATAGTAGGCTGACATGTAGGTTTTGTTGGGGATGAGATAAGGAATCACGAGGGAAAGTATCGTGGGCTGATTTAGGCCTTACATTTGGGGTCTTGGGCCGTGGCCCTTAGTGAAAAAAATGGGTTCAAAATATATATAAGTCCCATTGTTCTCCCACAATGGGAATTAACCCTTGCCTTATTATTTTAGGTATCTCAAATTATTAACTAAGAGTTTATTCTTTGTAATAAAGTTACTCACATACTTTTAATGAGTACCCATATAATTCTAAGTAGCATCATACTTTCTATAAGTTATAATTAAATTATTCCTAATTTCACATACCCAAAATAGGTACTCGTCTTCCAAGGTACTACAAATAATTCCTTAATTTATTTTAACTCCATGCTAATCAAACATTTATATAATCCGAAGGCAAGTGCTCTACCACATTCCTAATTGCAATTTAAATAGATTCCTAATTAGGCGGGATGTTACACCTATACTCATAACTAGAATTTCTCATGCATAAAATGGATACTCCCCTTCCATGGTAATACCAATAATTTCCTAATTTTAATTTAACGTCATCCAAAAGCAAACATTTATATAGTCCGACGGCAAGTACTCTACCATATTCCTAATTGCCATTTAAATAAATTCCTAATAAGATGGGATGTTACACTCTCCCCAACTTGTTTGGAATTTTGTCCCTAAACTTCATCTCACCATCCCAAAATCTGCTTAAATCTAACGTTTAATACCATTACACCATGCCGTACAGTTCACTGCATTCATACAGCCAGTTATAAAAGCCATCAACATCTCAGAGCATCAACAACAAATTTGTACTTTACAGGATCATTAAATAATATAGGTATCACACAATTTTGTTCGTACAGAATGAATACAAAACATCATCCTAAGCTTAATCATGATACAAGCAATTTCCTTAGTTCTCTTTTTTGTTTTTTAAACATCAACAAATACCAGATTACACAAGTGGAATAAAACGGACAAAAATCTCACTAAACCAAGAAACTCCAGCTATATAAGAAAACTGTAATAGGGTTTTAGTGCATAATGATTAAACAACTAAACAATTCCAATTGCAAAACACTTCTTTACTATATGAAGTTCAATAATTATTACTAGTGTAGGCATAAGTGCTTAGCCTTTTATTCACCCGATTCAAGATTATATCCTATGAAGGAAAATATGACAATAGACAAAGGGCTTCCTAACATTCCTATCTCATAATTCATCTTTGATGTCTCCCTATACTACTACTCAACTGATCATAAATTTCAATGTTTCCAAATAAAATGTAATTAACAAGTCAGTGGCCTATATCAAAGTTCCTTGGAATGTGGAGTCACATTTAACAATAAAATGATATTACCTCCTATTACCTGAGCAAATATAAGGCTAATTAACTAAGATTTCCACCTACAATTGTTTCGTCTTTGTAATATGCACGTTACAACTTCTTAGAAGTGCCATCACCTTCTACTTGATTCTTATCAATAATAACGGTCCAGTTTACTCGCTACACACATCACACATATGCATGACATTCAGGTTTCTACATTAGTTGTAACACCCCGTTCTAGAACCAGTTTGTTAACATCGAATTATGATATTAAGCGCAGTTACAATCACATGGGTTCAATTAAAATCCGGATAAATTTTTCATTTTTAAACATGCCGAATTTATAATACCCAATTTCATGATCATAACCATATTACCTTGCGGAATCAGATAAATCAAGCTTAACATCATGTTCTTATTCTATTTTTAAACCATTAATTTACTTCTTATTTATTTCACAACTTCTACTATATTGTAGATCTCTTCTTTCGCTACGCGTGGCTTCAAACCGCTCTCAAATCGGAGTACTGTAGCCCAAGTTATGACAATTGGAAGCAACACAAGAGAGTATTGGTCACAGGCCCCGCGCGCTTCAGCGCGCTACCGGGCGCTCAAGCGCGAGTTATCGGGCGCTAAAGCCTCCATCTGGGCGCTTAAGCGTACGTAGGCAGGAAGCATCAGGTTTTTCAGTATAAATAGGCGCTTAAGCGCGCACCAGGGCGCTCAAGCGCTTTATCCTGGGCGCTTCAGCCCCTATTTGGGACGTTTTAGCGCGCAGAGGCAGAAGCATCCCCTCCTTCAGCGGCTAAGGGCGCTCAAGCGCGAACCAGGGCGCTCAAGCGCGCAACCCTGGGCGCTTAAGCCCCCACTCTGGGCGCTCCAGCGCGAGGAGGCCGAAAGCATTGGCTCTCACAGGGGCAGCAGGGCGCTAAAGCGAGCTCCAGGGCGCCAAAGCGCGCTGCCAGGGAATTCCATTACCCTCATTTTTCAAGTCCAAGTCTAGGGGAAGATGCATCCCCATTCCAAACCCCAATGGTTCATGCCTCAAAACTTAATCCTAGCACTCATCCAACCTCTCCTCATGAGATTTAGCTAGAATTTGGGTAGCATAACCTTTGTTTTCTCAACGTTTCCCAATTTAAACAAAAGGTACCTAATTGATTCTCAGTCCAGTCAATTCAATAACTCAATACATAACAAGCATGCATATATTGAATTTCAAGTAGGCATCATTTACAGTACATATCCATTACAAATCATGGAACTTAGCTTACAAAACACTATGATCATTCCCTTGACTCCCATCAACAAAAGAGATGACCAAAGGCATGAGCATAGGCTAAGTCCATTCCAATATACAAATCATAATCTATCATTACCTATTAATTACAATTCTATACATGCGAGCTACAAAACAACATGTATAATATCAAAAAAATGCAACACTTCATGCATATGCTAATCCAGATATGGTCACTTGCCACCAGAGGCTCCTGCAGCATCCTTACCTGAAAGGGGATCCCCACAACACGGGGTGAGATAAACGAATATATCCAGTAAACCAGGGGTCCTTGGAGCATCTCTCCACCCCACAATTCCATATCAGTGTAATAGCAATAACAATAATAATGCAGTAAATACATATCTATGCAAAGTGCAATAACATCTCCAGGAGAAATCCCTCGAGCTTTCAAGCTGTCCTAAGGAAACTCAGATGCAAATAGTCCTACTGGCCAGCTAACTACCAAGTACGATTTACGCATCGTCATGCAACATACCACATAGGGAAACACCATCCTATGCCACACCAAATGCATACACATACGTATAACAAAGCATTACACTATTTCATTGCATTTATATACACTATAATTACCACTACCCTTTCAGGGGCTTGGCGGAACAATCAAGGGAATTACACCCAAGGTCCGAAGGCTTACCTCAAGCTTCAATTCGACCTTTGTTCACCACCCACGGATTCTACAGCCCGTTAATTACGATATTCCACTTCTCAAACAAAACCTACACAAGGTTTAATGCAATTAACACATATTGCATCCAATAACATCTCATAGCTATCAACCAAGCTATACAATTCATACCAAACATAAGCATGAACTCACCTATTCAATGGAGCTAATCAAGCTCCATAGCTTGCTCCAATGGTTGATCACTTACGGTTGGTCCAAATGCCTCAATCCTAGACATCATTAGGACACAATCATCAATCAACCAAACCATTGAGTACAATTGCAAGAAAGTCCAATATCAAGCATCATATTCTTGCCATTTTCCAAATATACTCATTTAGCTATCTAAGCTCATTTTCACCGATTAAACGTCGTTCTTAGCATTTTTCACAACATGCTCTAAGCTCCATTCTTCCTAGAAAATAGCTAATTTAACAACATTTCATCAAAACCCCAATTTACTATTCATTGAACCCTAACTCATGCAATTTTCCATGAAAATAAGGTTCAAGGGGTAGAATCTTACCACCACTGGTTGCACAACCAAGGATTGATGACTCCTCAAGCTTCAATGGAGGTTGAAGCACTCAAAACCCCAAATTTCACCAAATGGGCGAATTTTTGAGAGGAAATATCTCTCTCCACAATGCTCCCCACTCAAAACTAAGCTAGGATTATGAAAGAGGGGAAGATTTAGAGTAGTTTAGGCTTTTGAATCACCCAAAAAGGTTGGGATTTGCTCCCTCCTCTCTCTCCCTTTCTTCTCCTTCTTCTTTCTGGCGTCGACGGGAATGGGAGGGTTTGGCACTCTTTTTTGTGTTTAAGTCACTTAACATAGGTTAAGTGACTTTAAGCGGGTATTGGTTCGTCTATCTATTTAGCTCCAATAATTACCAAACTTCACCCAAAAGTCAGGAATATTATTCTAGGAATATTTCCATTTTTATTTTTATATTTTGGGTACTTTTGCCTACACCCATTTATACCCCTTAATTTTCACTGTGTACACTTTTTAACTTCAAAGTGACTCAGATTCATTTAATTAAGCCTTATACTTAATTTTACTCACTAAAACATGCTTAATTATTTAATTACATGTAATTTGCTAATTAATTAGATTAAGGCTATTATATTAGTCATCTTGCCTAATAATATCGTCTACAGAATTTTATTCTCATTATCCTTCGGGAAATCAAGTAAGTAAAACAGAGCACATTACATTCTAATTTTCAAATGAGAAGGATTTTCGTAAAATCACAAAACTTCTATTCTACCTTACAGACATGTCATGTTAAGTGGTACCCCTCATACAGCTCGTCAAAACACCCATATGAGGAAACATCCTCGAGCTTTCTGCTGTCCTAGGTACCTCGAATGTAATTGACTCCACTGATCAGAGGATCCATCAACCATGATATGACTTTCCAATTATCGACACATTTTACAATTTTGAAACGGAAATCCAACATAATCCACTAACAGAGACCACACTGTCATAATTCAAGTTCACAAAAACCACATCCAATTTCCGAGTTGCAATTAAATTTCCATTTATAATGACGAGTCACAAGCACGTCACAAATCTCATGCAGAAAAGAACCAAATCCAAAGTCCACTTAAACCGAAAACTAATCTCATCCATACAAACAACAATACATCCATCCAATGAGAACATTAAAAAAATAATGATAATATTTTATGCTGCATTTAAACAATTTCAAAATGAATATCAAACTTTTAACATGAGGTTTACCGTAGCATATTTAATTCACAGGTTGAATATTGTTTCGATCAAACAGCAATTAAACAAAATCAGAATGCTCAAGTTAAATTCAACTCTTACAATGCACTCCGTTTTTATATGAGGTGTTCTTGGAACCATGCAGGTATAACAAAAATTTCTAAGTGGTACTAGCTCGAATGTCTTATACAAAAATGATTAACAGTTCCTAACAAACATGTGCAGAAGGTAGGGATGGTCCATATTAAGTTATATCTAGGATTTGAATACACATGCAATCAGATCAAGAGAATGGTTGATCCTAGAATTTAACATAGAGTAGAAAATTATAACCCACTGTTTCTCAATTAATAATTCAATCAAATCATAAGGTGAATAGATGCAGTTTAAGGGTCGGTATTTTTATAATCCAAAAATATAGTTTTCTTTTGGAATTAGATACTGTGCAACCTGGCGAGAACATAATAACAATACTCCATCAATTCGGCTATGGCACAAACAAAGGTATTAGTCAAGAAAGTCAAACCACTCATATGTCAGGTGCAAGGTTTTTAAGCAACCAAAATTTTCTTTCAATTCGCTTAACCAACCAAGGAAAATCAAATGTAATTTCAGACGCTGCTCTAACAGTATATAATCAACACAGATTAAGTCAAAGACCAAGCATAATGCACTGCTCAATAATTTTCGTTGTGGTTCACTTCAGCCAGAAAATAGAATCATGTAGTGTTAAGGAACATTTCCAAGGACCACGAGTTTGACAATTTAAATGTAAATATTCATCAGAAATAGTAAACTGATTTGACCAAATTAATATTATAGTATACATAAAATAAACCAACTTAAAGTCCGGTGTGCCAGCAGACATCAACCTCCGAACCCACAATTTAATGCAACTAACAGATATGAGCTTCTATCAGTCAAAGCTTATAAACATTCAAAGTCCAATATCACTATTCGATCTAGTTGTATTATTGGTGCAGATTATCCATGCCCATGCACGATCAACAAAATTCATAGAATCCAGTTAGAATCTCCTAATGCTTACTCGAACATTAATTTTAGCAAGGTGTCAAATAACCAACATAATAAAACAAGTCAAACAATGTGTAGCCCCATGTAGTCACAATTTACCTGTTCAGTCCACTATATTTTAAATTCAGTTCAGATAACCTTTCCTTAATTAGGCATTCAGTTCCATTGATATGTTAAAAATCTAAACTGGTAAATTCAAACAATCACCACATAAAATCTGTTGTTATAATCAGAGGCAATAAATTTACATGCAAGTCTAAAAGTGGTCAAAATCACACAAGGCAATCCAACACGTACGAAGTAAAATGACAAGTATCACTCACAAGAAGGGCACAGAGACAGGAGTCAAGTACCCTACCCTACACATCACCACTTTGTTTAACAACTTCTTTCTCAGAATTATGTCTAGTGCCAATTCACCATTAGAAGATTTATAAAGACAACAGACCCACATGTCTAAGCCTTAATTAGTTCCAACGTCTACTTTCTAAGGGCATTAATTGGATCTACTTTGATAAGTGATCTATCACTACATAAGTTTGTCTACATACAGTTTTTAGGTCAAATAACAAGTCCTTCGTAAGGCTAGATAACTACATCAATCGTCATGATTATATCACTGCTACCCTTACTCAGTTATGAGACCCAACAAAATTAGTGAAAAAGAATAACAGTTTCTATTACCCGGTCATATGCTACAATCACAATACACAAGAAAAGTCATAAATAAAAAAAACAAACATGTAGCAGAAGTCATTATTTAAAGATAACTTATATCACCCACAACTTAGAATATCACAAAATATTCACATCAAGTATAGATATATAAAACCTTGCTTATAATTCATAGAAAACAGAATTAATAATTCACCATTAATTCAAGTGGCAATTCACTATTTCACACATAGTGCTCAGACACAAGTGTACCCCGTCACAACCATGATTGTGCACACACGACTTGCGCGACAGTGAGTTGATCAGGCTCACCACCTAGCAAGTGAATGGGCACATCCATGCTTAACATCGTGTACTCCCAGTATCATCACACCTCCAAATATAAAGTAATTTTAACCAGTAATTCATTCACAGTTAAGTTCAAACAGCAACAATGCAACAAACATATACAAATAATCAATAAATTCAGACATTGACCATTTAGCAATCAAGTACAAACAACAGATATTTCATCAAATACAGACACCTTGAATCAAAATTGCTCTGATACCAATTAGTGTGACACCCTCCCCTGTACGCATCCAAGGGAGTTGTCTGCTAAGCGGATTAGAGTTGAATTATTAAATAGTAAAATTTCTTGTTCAGTAAAAACTTTTTCATTAAACCAATTAGAAAATCTTACTTAGAAGACTGACTTTGAGGAATAAAACAACAAGTAAAATTTAAAAAGGCTTTTCGCTGCGCAACTCTGATTTTCCTGAAGACAGCCTGTCTTGAAAATATCATGAAAAATACGAATACAAAAATTTACAAAAAATTTCTTTGCTAAGAAGAAACTAGACATCTGGGGCTTCGCGTACATATAAATTATACGCGAATCGAAGGAGAATAGCCCCACGAGACTGAACTCGCAAAGTACTCAAAAATCCAGTGTGTTTTTCTAAAAACCTCCTGACTTATAAAAATCATAGTAAATCGATTGTCCAGAATTTCATTGTAAGGTTTACATAATATGAAAGTACACAACTGGGGCTTCGCATGCATATAAAGTAAGCCTCATTTGGAGGTCTGTAGCCCCAGAACGACAACTCGCAAAGTGGTCGCAAAAACAGTTCAAAAACTCCGAATTTAAATACAACGGAAATCGGTTTGACACTTTAATTTTTAGAATCACTTAAATTTAGATGTTATGAAAATATCATGTCACACTCATTTCAAGACAGAATACACATAATAAAATACCATCCTTAAAAGGCTACATCAAAACTGAATATACATTATCCTTCCAACAGAAACATCAATTAAACAGTAGGATATCCCAAACAGTAAAACTCAATCAAATCATTTCCATGAAATCACGTAATCAAATACTTCTTCACATGCTTCTAAGTCCTCCTGCAATTTATAAAAATTTAGCCCCCGAAGGGGTGAGAAAAATCCCAGTAGTGTGGCAATAAAACCAATACAGCAACAATATTAGACTAGGTACAAAATTGCAAAACAGTCGCATCAACATTTAAATTTCCGAACAGATGCTAACATATAATCAAGGTGCGTATATAACACCAAAGTACTAATCAAGATGCGTATATAACGCCAAAATACTAATCAAGATGCGTATATAACGCCAAAAGGTACGTTCATAGCACCGTCGTGCACGTACTAACAAGTACAGTGGAGATCCCATAGTGGCTCCTCAAGAGGGTTCCAACTGCAACCTATGCGGACTGAAGCCAAGTGTCTCATACCATGGTACCGTAGGGATGCCTATATGATGCGTGCTCAAATGTATGCTTATATTTATTATATACTTCTGTCTCCAAAATGAATGCATAATGCAGTATGCGATGACATGCTCGACACACACACAACCAGACACAGGTGAAAGTATGATGTGCATATGCATGACTAGATCATAATCATAATAGCATATTTCTCTTGTATATGAAATACCAAGCTGCCGAATAACAACTACTTCCATAAACAGAATCTTCCATCAAAACAAGTCCAAAGGCAGAATACATATACCATATAACAGGATACTAATCAGAAGGCACATGTGTGCATCAGTTCAAAATTTCATACACTAGCTAATAGTCACAGTAGGTCTCACCACCAAACACATACCTTATGTCCAAGCAATAATCAACAGCACCAAAAATCATCCCACACTTTAAGGATCAGGCGCACCTAATCAAATGCACCACAAGTCAGAATTTTATTCCAACTATCCTATTATTCATATGCCATTTTTATGCCTTCCAAATCCTTGTATGTGAACCGGTTTAACGTGCTTCTTGTACTATACAATTTTCTAACTCCATATTAATTCAATAGCATGTAGTAACGAAGAATTTTCCAAAGTCTTATACTTACACTGGTTCGGTTCTAGTTAGCGTAATAAAAGGTTCAGAATTTTATTCACTTAACCCATTCCACTAATTGCTAGCAAATCAGAATTTTCCAGGGTTTACAACACACACCCAAACTCGGTTTTAACATGCTTTCTAACTTAGGTTCAATTTCTGACTTGGTTTAACTTTACCAATCGTTAACAAAATTTACCACTTCTTAAGCATACAATTTTGGCTTTGGCTACTAATTAAGAATTCATAATTTAGATATTCATCTAACCTTTCTACAAGTCCTAAGGTGTACTAGGGGAAACCCAAAAACATGTTGTGATCGTTCATCAAGACATAAGCAAGGCCTAATTAATTTTCTTAATTCAATGACTGTAACATCTCGCCTAATTAGGAACCTATTTAAATTACAATTAGGAATGGGGTAGAGCACTTGTCTTCGGATTATATGAATGTTAGCTTTAGGAAGGAGTTAAATTAAATTAGGGAATTATTGGTATACCTATTTTAGGCATGTGAAATTCTAGTTATAAGTATAGGAATAATTTAATTATAACATATGAGAACCAGAGGATTTTCTAATTGAGTATACATATAGGAAGAGAGGTAAATTGACTCCACTGTTTTTCCATATAAGCGAGGTGTAACATAAAAAGTGATTAGGAATTATATTCAAATTACTATGAGGATTATGGATGTTTATATTAAATTCGAATTGTTGGGAGTGCTTGCTTTGTCTTCAGAGGATGTAGCTAGTTTCCATACCAAGGAATTAAAATTAAGGAAAATACATGAAATATTATAAAATGTAGAGTGCATGTGTGCTAAGGTTGAACAACAAGTAATACTTGTTGGAGTTCGAATTATGTGATTATTAAGTGATACCGAGTTAGGAGATTATTAGAATTTTTATGATAGGTTAGAAAATTATTTTTAGGCATATAAAGCCCTAGAAAAGATGTAGGACTTAATTAATAGCAATTTCAAGAAAGAATTAAATTAATTAAAAGGCTTGGGAATTATAAGTTCATGGGTTTAGTGTCTTTTGGGCTTGTAGTTTTTTGATTCCCAAGTTGTTTTGGCCGAACCATAGGGCATTGGGAGGGTTCATCAACTCAGCCCAAGTTCTCCACACCTTGCCCTAATCCTACCTCATCTTAGAAATCCTTCCATGGCAGCCCTTGATTGGGATGTAGCCTCCACATGGCAAACACATCAGCCACCTTATCCCCCTTGCATGTAGCGCTACATAGGGCACAAAAATCTGATGCCTTGTTCCCTTTAAGTTGAGTTGGTTCAGCCTTAATTCCATGCAACCAATCAGTTCACATGAGTCAGATTGCATGATATTTGTTTGGGCAGAAATCACAGCCACACTTTTTCCTCTTTTGTGCGCATAGTTAGGGTAGGAAGTCTGAACCTGTTGCTTGTAAGATTAACAAGAATAAACCAAATCAATTCGCTGCTTCCACATGCGCCCAATGAAGAAAAAAAAAACTGATCAGCTTGCAGGTGCCCTTAGTGGGCAGAAACCTTACACCCTTTCCCCACACTCACATGTGCGCATGGTAAGGAGAGGTCTTGATAAAATTCTGGCCATGGGTGATATTGCAATCAGATTTTAAACTTCTCTCTTCCTCCTTCTTATGCGTTGTGTAATATAAGTTGTGGCTGAACTCTTAAGCCTTAAACAGAAACCTGGTTTTCCCCTCTCCTCTTGACCGTGCTCACCCTAGCTAAGCACATCAGAATCATTGTTATACCATTTTCCTTCCCTCACACAAAAAACCGTGAGCCAACATAGAAGGATATCAAGAACAACAACACCTGAATCCTTCCCTTTCCCTTATTCTAGCAAGGCCGCGAGCTCCTTTGAGCAGGGAACAAAATCACTCAGCATTTTCCTCCTTTCTTTCTTATTGATCGAACTCCACATAACAAGAAGACCGAAGCCTTGGAGCATAAGAGGAACCTCCGTTTGCATGCATGGTTAAACCTTGACTCTAGTCTTCCACCTTTTTCTCCTTGTGCGCACGGTCACCATTTAGGAGGGATGGACCTGTTGCCTTCGTGGAGCTTAGGAGGCTTGGTGTTGCTTCTCATTTTGTGTGTTTCCTTGTGTGTGTGCTTGCAAGAGGTATGCACCAAATCCTTCCTTTTTCTCTGTTAAACCGTGAGACATGCTAGGGAAATAGCCCTTTTAATTATTTTATGGCTCTTCTAAAATTCTGCCGTTTTGTACCCTTAGGTCATAGACTAAAAACATGAGTTGAATAAACCTTGAAATGATCTTCTTATAAAATTTGGGATTGAGTTAGTGTATCTAAATTGTCATGGACTTAACTAAAGAGGACTGTATGTTAGACTCCCCATGTAGCGCACCATTGAGGAAGTAAGTAGAGTTTGAGGAAAGAAATAACCCTTGATGTTTTGTTGAAGAAATCGATTCTGCCTTATTGAACCTTGTTATGAACTAAGTTTATTTTAACTTAAATGTACTGTATGAACTTAGGTTTTCCGTTACGCACCCTTGGCATTGTCAAGCTAAAATCTCGAAATAATATCATGAGCCCATTGTATGCTTAGGACCGATTCTGTTTTGATGAGTCTTGGCATGAACTAAAATCCATTTAAATTATTTAGACAGCATGATAATAGGCTTCTCTCTTGCGCACCTTGAATAGAGAAATAGGAATTTTATGAATAAAGTCTTGTATAATTTTGTTATAACCGAATCTGCCTTGGTTGGGAACATTAGAAATTCACGCTGTTTAACGTTGGTAAATCTCAAATTAAAGTTAGAATATCTTTGGGAAAATAGCCGTGGTGGCCGAATGGGTGCATGAACCCTTAAGCTTGGAAACTTATTGGTAATTTATAAGGAAAAGCTTAAACGTATTCTGATTGGATTACGCTTGTATATACCTATAGGTGTTCATGCCTTGTGAGACTTTGGATCAGTTTAGTTGTTGCCTGGTAAATTAATGGTGACATGTGAGGTAAGTGTTTGGTGGTATTACCTAATGTGACTATTAGCTAGCGTATAGAATTGTGAATTGTTGCTCACATGTGCCTAATGATTATCCTGTTATTTATTATGAAAGTATTCTGCCTATGGAAATGTTATGTTGGTAACTCTGTTATGAAAAAAAATGATGGCGTGGCAGTATGGCATCAAAAGTACATGAAGTATATGTTATGAAGATGATGATATAAGCATGCACTTTACATCATACTGCATCTGTTTTTCTGTTTTGTGTGTGACAGCATAGCATGGCATACGTGCATATAAATTTCATGTTGCATTGGCTAATAATAATATCTATATAAATATGCATACGATTGAGCACGCATCATATAGGCATTACCTCGGTACCAGGGAAGGGGACACTTGGCTTCAGTCCGCATAGGTCCACAGTTGGAATTCACCTTTATGGGAGCCATTATGGAATATCCACTGTGATGGTGCGCGCACGACGGTGCTATGAGCGCAATGATGGTGTTATATACGCACTAAGATGACTATGATGAATATACATGACCAGGGCGTTATCTACGCAATAAGATGATGATGATTAACAGCTGTATGGAATTTTAAATGTTGATGCGACTGCTTTATAATTCTGTGCCTAGTTTAATACTGTTGCCTTATTGGTTTTGTTACCACACTACTGGGATTTTTCTCACCCCTTTGGGACTGTTATTTTTACAAATGGCAGGAGGACGGAAGAGCATTTGAAGACATAATTAATTGGATATTTGTTGTTATGTACTGCTGTTTGGACTAGTGTTGTTGTTGTTATTTAATGGATGAATGTATTAAATTAAGTAGCTTGGATTACTGTTGAATTATGATTTTATCACTGTTTTTAAGACTTTTATGTTCAGCAGGTATTTGAAAACAAATTCTAGAAACGTTTTGCGAAAATAATTTCTGAAGTTTTGAATGCTGATTTTGAAACAGATTTGACGAGCACTTTACGAGTTATATTTAGTGGGGCTACAGACCTCCAATTCGCTTATATTTTATATGCACGCGAAGCCCCACGTGTCTATTTTCAGATTATGTAAACGTTACAATGGAATTTTGAAAACTGGATTTTATACGAATTTTGCAAGACAACAACGTCTGCCAGGAAAATAATAATTTCAGCAAGTTAAGAATTTTGAAAGTATACTCTGATTTTTGGTAAGTAAACCGATTTCAACTATGTATTTTAATTAGGAACGTCAAAATGATTTTTCAGTACATAAAATTGTGACGAACGAACTCTAATTCTGCTTAGCAAACAACTCTCTTGGATGCATACAAGGGAGGGTGTTACAATGACGATTCTAAAACTCAGGATGGGTCGTACCCCAAATTCACACAAAACCCAATTTTTCAGACTTGCATGCATCAAGGTCACGGCTGTTCATAAGGCAGAAAAGTCTTATTTCTTTTAACATATATACCAATAACCGAATAGTGAGGGGAAAGGGGAGAAAGAGTTACAAAATCAAACTATTCCCTTAAAATAGAAACAATGGGGTAAGATGAGGTTTTAGGTTCAACCTTTAGCATACAAAATGTTCAAAAAATTTATTTACATACCCACTGCATTAAGGGTTACAATTAAAAAATTTCCCATTGTTCCCAACACACACACATACGGTTTTTAGGGTCCTTAAATTAATCAATTTCAGCCTTCTTATCCATTTCTAGCAAGGGACAACACTTCCAAGGTTCACTACACATAAGCATAAACAAAGGAATAGAACGACAACAGTATTCCCCTAAGCTACTCATTCAGACCGAGACAGTATTTGAAAGAACGACAGCACAAGAATTTCTCTTCTCAATATTCAAGCTACAGCCAAACTGTGAGGGAAAAGAATGACAACACAATAACTCCCTAAAATATTTATGTAATCGAGACAGTGATGTGAGAATGAGACTTGAGTTTGGACATTACCCCTTTATAAGTACATACAGCTAGTAAATTATTTCCGGAACAGCAGCCTTCTTCATCCAATGTTCCACGGAACTGATTCCCATCATACACAAGGAAGGAGAGACTCAACCACAGCCGAGTCATGGGCATGCAGTGGAACAAAACGAGACTTAATCAGAACGGGTTTAATTTGAGTTAAACAAGGAGGAAAAAAAACGAACACATCACCTCCTAGAGCTGAGTTAAACAGCGCCCAAAAGGAACAGAAAAATGATGCTAGGCTTGGTCCCAAACGAGGAAGAAAGGACAGGAATCAGCGATGAGCTCCTCACTTCCTTGCTGATGAACGTTCGGTTGAAAAGGGAAGGAATAGAAGTGGAACTTAAGTGCTTATTCCCCTCCTAGGACAACCACGGTCTTGATAGAGACTATGAGGGAAAATGATCCAACATGCATACCCCCCCAACCATCGGTTGGGTTTGGCAGAAAGTGTGGAGTGAGGTGAGGTTCAGTTTAGATGTTCAAGGTACTTTAGGAGTGTGAAAGGGTGGGTCACGCTTCTGATTCGGTTCCTCACTGTTTTCGCGCAAGAACAATATGAGGAAGAAGGTTAACTATCCATCTAATTCAATTGCCAAAGCATCAACCTTATCTTTCCATGAGAACCTTAGAGAGGATTGATTTGGATGAGGTAGAAGTTTTCAGCCAATAGGAATATATGCCTAGGGAGTGGACCAATCAGAATTCATGCATGCTGATTGCCTTTTAAGATAACCAATAAATAAGTGTTGGGGTATTTTAAGGCTAAATGGGGTTTACTTTTCGAGTTTGGGCCGTGGCCCATTATTAATGCATGGGGTTTAATTCACCTTCCTATGAATCATAATTTCATGTAATTACTAAGTATTTTCTAAGGTTTTATTAGGGGATGTAGTTTAAAGTTTAAATCTATCCCACACCTACATGTAATTCCATTTCATGGCATGACCCCACACTCCCAATTGCAATTTAAATAGTTTCTTAACAATTATTATTCCACGTGATCACTAGGTAGTAGCTAATGTTTCTATATGTAATAATTAAATTATCCCTATACTCATAACTAGAGTTTCTTATGCATAAAATGGGTACTCCCCTTCCATGGTAATATCAATAATTTCGTAATTTTAATTTAACGTCATCCTAAAGCAAACATTTATATAATCCGACGGCAAATACTCTACCACATTCCTAATTGCCATTTAAATAAATTCCTAATAAGATGGGATGTTACAATATATATATATATATATATATATATATATATATATATATATTGATTTATCGTTTCTCAAGCTGCTTGAAATAACTTTATCTCCGGCTACTAAATCATAACCGTATAAAGATGGATCTACGGTGATAAAGGAAGAGAGAGAAATAGAGAATCATAACCATTCAAATGTGAATCAATTAATATAAGGAAATAAATAAATAAAATGACATAGTTCTGTGGTCGACGGAGATAAATATATCTCAAGCTGCTTGAGAAATATTTCTCTCTCTCTCAATGGTGTCACATGCTTACAAATAAGAGTCGTTGATCTTTTTTGATCTAACGACTCTTAGTTGAAGTGTCAAATTTTAAATTTGAGACTGGTGTCAAAGGATCATATATATATATATATATATGGGAAATGTTTTTCTTATGTTGTTGGAGATGTGTTTTCTTATGTTAGTGAAACAAAATTATTAGAAGGACCCACAAATAATTGGATAGAGCAAAAATAGAGGTGAGATCCACTTTTATTATGTGTGTATAGGAATTTGGTTTATCTCATGTTGAATGAGATAAATATAACCCTATATATATATATATATATATATATATATATATGTATATATATATATATATGTATATAGATATAATAAAAAATGAACCATTCAACTATGTGAACCGTGACCAGTTAACACATGTCAACTGGTTTTCAGTTTCTATACCAATTTTTTAGATCTCTTGAGTGGATGTTTAGGATACCTCGTTTTGATATTTTGTCTAGCTATCAAGGTATGGCTTAGTGTTTTTTAACAAACTGATTGCAAGAGGGGAGTGTTGAGAATATGTTCTATTATTATTCATTTTCTTTGTTAAAATAATAGTTACACGTTGTGCATCCAAAGTGTACCGTTGGGATCTATAAGCCCACTATGTTCCTTTTAGGTATAGAATCACTGTATGGATGATACCCTTAGCACAGGTAGAAACCAAGCTAAGAGGTATTGTTCCAAGTATGTAGCAAGCAATTAACAATGGGGTTAGATGTGTGTAATATGACTCAATATAAATGGGCATAATAACGATACATAAGATCCCTTCCTCAAGTGCCCAGGGGGCTATTTATAGTGGAAGTGATGTGAATCTTGCTTGGGTTGGTGAGGAGGGGGTCAACCCTCCTTGGGATCTGCTAAGGGTAGCAGTGCTGGGCGTGGCAGACGCTGCTGTGTTAGCAGCGCTGCACCCCCTATGCCTGGCGGTATCAGCGTGGGACAAAGGGCAGTTCCCCTTATGGCATCTGGGGCGACTGCCTTTGGGGGTTATGGTCCCAAGGTAGGACATTTTGGTGTTTCCCCTTGGGAGAGTGGCCGTGTTGGGAGTTGGGGGATCTCACCAGCTGGTAGGGCTGACGTGGATTGAGGGTTGAGATTGGGCCTGGACCTTTGGGTCGTAGCCTTGTTGGGCCATCCGGAACAAGAGCCCCCAGCTTGGTAGCAAGCGTAGGTTGGTGCCAAGGAAAATGGGCTTCAACGATGCCTTGTTTAGCGATCTGAACGGTTGGTACAGGCTCAGATAGAGATCTCTTGATGACTTACCGAATATTTGGAGTTTGGCAGTTTGGCAGTTTCGAGTGGGGTTTCCTGGGTTGACATGGCTTTGGCGTTGCCTTCTTGGCGATCCGAGCGGTTGCCAGGGCGTAGAGAGGGATCTCTTAATGACTCTAGCGAATGTTTGGAGTTTGGCGATGCCTACTTGGCGATCCGAGCGGTTGGCAAGGGCCCTTTTTTTTGGAAAAGACTGCCATTCTGACAGACAAGGTGGCTTTTCGAGTTTCGAGAGCAGTAATGATGGGTATTTCCATCATTGCAATCAACTGCAGGCACTCAAATGTCACGAGGCACGACGCATTAATGCGACGTGAGGGGTGTCTTGGCCCCCTGCAATTACCATCTGGCCCCTCATCACAACCGCCCGTTTCATGACGGTTGTGCCATCCTACGGTTGGGTATGGAGGGCCTTACACGTGTATGCCATCCTGGTCTTTTTCTCCCTATTTAAAGGGGAGAAACACCTCCTTGAGGACCTTCTTCACGTAACCCAGACTCCCTATTGCTCCTGCCTTGTTTCCCCTCCGTGAAAGTGTGCTAGTGCCGGTCCTCTTTTCTTCATTCTCTGCATTATCCCAGGTATAATGTTTCTGGCTTCCTCTTTTGGTATTTCTTTGTATTTCTTTGGCTTTGCTTCCCTTCTATCTTTTTCTTGTGATGGTTAAGTTTACGGAACCCATCCCTGGTTTAATATTGCCCGAGTTGGAAGTGGAGATTAAGGAGGAAGAGTTTGATGAAGCTTTCGACACTCTGGATGACAGTGCAGTGGGGCCAGCTATGCGGGAATACCTTGCTAGTCATGCCCCAAACCGCTCTTTAATTCCTGGGGTTGAGTCATTACCTCATGGTAGAATACCCGAACTTCTGGGTTTTAGTGAAGAGGAGATCCAAAATCTCCTACCGAAGAGGGCATTAGACCTGTGGTTCCGTACTCTGGTGAGGCGTCTAGTTCCCGTCTTCATGGAGGGCGCCGTGAGGCGACTAGAGAGAAAGCTTCTAAATCCGGTAGGCGCCAGTCTGCAGGATCTAGAAGACGACGGTCAGGGGGCTCTGGTGAGGGGACTGGCCCTCGCCCTTCGCGAAGGAGTCATTCTAGGCCTTATGTTCGCTCTTGTGATCAGGGGCCGCTTCACGCTACCATGTTTCGCGGCGCTCCGATCTTGGAGCTGGGCGACTTATTCGGCCACTATCCAATATTAACAGCCAGCCGCAAAACCGTCCATTAGAGTACTTATTCGGCCCTTCTTGTTGCGACTTTGTATAATTTCTCTTACAAACTAGTGTTCGGCTTCTTCTTTCGATTGCTAACTTTGATTATTAACCGAAATCACCCATCATTTTAGTCCAACGTTAGGCGGGGGTGAGAACTATCCCAGTCCGACGTTAGGCAGGGGTGAAAACCATCCCGTGACTTTGATGTTGGATGGGGGTGAGAACCATTCCAGTCCAACATTGGGCGAGGGTGAGAACCATCCCATGACTTTGATGTTGGCTGGGGGTGAGAACCATCCCAGTCCAACGTTAGGCGGGGCGAGAACCATCCTGTAACTTGATGTTGGCTGGGGGTGAGAACCATCCCAGTCCAACGTTAGGCGGGGGCGAAAACCATCCCGTAACTTGATGTTGGTTGGGGGTGAGAACCATCCCAGTCCAACGTTAGGCGGGGGTGAGAACCATCCCGTGACTTTGATGTTGGCTGGGGGTGAGAACCATCTCAGTCCAACGTTAGGTGGGGGTGAGAACCATCCCGTGACTTTGATGTTGGCTGGGGGTGAGAACCATTCCAGTCCAACGTTAGACGGGGGCGAGAACCATCCCGTGACTTTGATGTTGGCTGGGGGTGAGAACCATCCCAATCCAACGTTAGGCGGGGGTGAGAACCATCCCGTAACTTTGATGTTGGCTCGGGGTGAGAACCATCCCAGTCCAACGTTAGGTGGGGGTGAGAACAATTCCGTAACTTTGATGTTGGCTCGGGGTGAGAACCATCTCAGTCCAACGTTAGGCAAGGGAGAGAACCATCTCGTAACTTGATGTTGGCTGGGGGTGAGAACCATCCCAGTCCAACGTTAGGCGGGGGTGAGAACCATCTTGTAACTTTGATGTTGGCTTGGGGTGAGAATCATCCCAGTCCAACGTTAGGCAGGGGTGAGAACTATCCCGTAACTTTGATGTTGGCTGGGGGTGAGAACCATCCCAGTCCAATGTTAGGTGGGGGTGAGAACCATCCCGTAACTTTGATGTTGGCTGGGGGTGAGAACCATCTCAGTCCAAGGTTAGGCAGGGGTGAGAACCATCCCGTAACTTTGATGATAACAGACAGAAAAAAGAACCAATGGGATTTTTTTAATCAAAAAGAAATGACCTGCCTCATTAAAAACCTTCCCAGGAAAAACCCAGTGGCACAAAATCTTGGGAAGGAAAAGAGTACAGCATACAGGTTACATTGCGGTTTAGCTATAGCATCGCCGGAGCTTATCAGCGTTCCACGCCCTTAGGATGGCCTTTCCCTCAAGTGTCTCCAAAGCATACGCTCCTCCTCCTAATTTGTTGGCTATTCGATAAGGTCCTTCCCAGTTTGGGGCGAGCTTTCCTTCACGGGCGTTCTTATTTTCGATGTCTGCTCGCCGAAGAACTAAATCCTTTACTTCAAATCTCCTCACGATTACTCTTTTGTTGTACCGAGCAACTATCATTTCCTTGGTTTGGCGCTCAGATTGTGCTGCTCACTCTCTGAGCTCATCCAGAAGGTCTAGAGCTTCATTGAGATTTTGGTTGTTGGTCACTTCG